ACGAATCTCGTGCACCGGGCCTCTAGTGCACACATAAAATAAAGCCACAGCCGTTGTCTCCTTGGTCCTCTTAGCAGCTCCATGCGGAAGGTAAGATGAAAAAGGATGGACAGGCAGGCAGAGAGATTCAGTGCCAATCCTGCATTCAAACCCTGATGCCGTCACATGCCAGCTGTGAGACCCTGTGCGGTCCTGCTCAGTGCTGCTGGGCCCTTCGGAGCCTTGCTTTCTCCTGTGGAACATGGGCTGATGGCAGCTGTCCTACTGAGTGGTGGGAACATTGATGGTCATGCATTCGTCTGTTCAGTAAATATTTACTAAGTGCCTTGTACCTTCCAGGCGCCGTTCTAAGAGTTTGAAATATGTTCCAGCACAAAACAGTGGCCCCTGCCTTGTGGAGTTAACATTATACAAGAGTAGGCAGATAATAAGTAACAAACATTTTAATAAATGCATAAACACTCCAGAGTGGGGATTAACAGATTTTCTGTAAATGACCAGATAGGAAATATTTTAGGCTTCGTGGTCCATACGGGTCCACTTTTACTTAACTCTGTCTTGGAAGTGTGGTGACAGCAGCTGTGGGCAGCAGGCATGGGGGCGAGGTGCCCTCTGAGAACAGGGAATGGGTGGGGCTTGCTGACACCATCTGGAAGGTGCTGTGTCTCAGGGCACATCCTTTCCCATTACTGCCTTCCCCTATGGGACTGTGCTGCACATAGCGGGAGGCTGATGGGACGAAGATGGGGAGATGGTATGTCGGGGGCTTTAAGGACCAGAGGTGAAGACTGCTTTCTGGGTGAGTCTGAACTAGTCGGCTTAGTGCTGACGTTGAGCCAGAACTTCCTTTATCCTTGTGTCCCCTTAAACCTTTTCTTCTTCTTTCTCCTCTTCACTACCTGAGCCTGACCGCGGCCCCTCTGTGTCCCTGATCCCCTGTCTCTTAAAGGGATGTGGACTCCTTCCCCGTGATCCAACCCCGAGGAATCAGGGGCCTGTCGCTCACAGTCAGATGCCCAAAGACCAAGCAGAAGTTTCCCGGCGGCTTCTCCTCCTTCTCAGACTTGCCAGAGCGCCTTGTTTAAGGCTACAGTGTCGCTAACCCTCATGGGGAAACTGGAATAGATGGAGAATCTGTGGTTTGCAGCCTTCTTGTCAGGAAAGTGATAGTGGCCTTGATTTTCCTTGCGGGGTTTCAGCCTGGACTCGTAGACATGTCTGCTGGGAGGCTGCTGCACGGCCTTTATGTGAGTCCGCGGAAAGGGCCCACGCTAGGTGGGGGCGTGGGTTGGCCAGGAAGCAGTGTTTGTGCAGAGAAAAGCTGTCCCTTCCTCTGCACGGTGCAGTCCTAGACTGTGAAGCAGGGCCTCGCGAGCAGATCACTTTGTGTAGTGCCCAGCCTGGTGTGCAAGGCGGGCCTGGGTCCTGCCTGCCACCCATATTTAATAGCGGGAGGTCACCTTCTCTGGGTACCTTGCCCTCTCACTTCCAAGTCCGAAGAGCTCTCCGGGACTCTCAGATCCGTGGGTGCTCACCTGGGTCCACTGTTGGGCTGATCCCCACGGCCTGAGCCTACATTTTCTGTTGGGAGTTGGAATAGACTCTCAAGCAACCCTGGAAAGTCTAACACTATGCAAGGCATCGCCTGGCACCTCCCAGAGAGCTGTCTTCCTGCTCGTGTCCAAACTTTGTAAGAGTCCCCCCTCTTTATCCTGTTAAAAATAAACACCGTTTTCTTCGCTCCCTTCAGATGCTGATTGTGCCCCAGAGAACAAGCATTTGTGTTTCCTCCAAAGGGAGATGAATAAACAAACTGTAAACAGCTGTTTCTCCTCTGGTGACAGGATTCAGACAATAGACCCTCTGAGGGTATTAATCAGCTGCCTTTTCCGCGGCAACTTTGCATCACGGGCCACCGAGGAGCCACCCTGCTGGGGTGATGTGGCTGCAACTTCCTGAACAAGCAGGGGGAGTCACTCCACAGAACCCCGTGCAGGCCTGGTGGCAGCTGCCACCTCAGCACAGCCCCGTGTGGGCCCGTGCACTTTCCAAACAGATGTGCGGACAGCTGCTGGGAAGGCTCTCCTTTCCTCACCTGTAACCTCTTGAGGGGCATCCTTGGTTATAAAAGTGGCCTCCAGCAGACTCACTTTATTTATTACTTATTTATTTTTAAATATATTTTTATTGACTTCAGAGAGAGAGAGAGAGAAACATCAAAGATGAAAGAGAACCACTGATGGGCTGCCTCCTTCTGGGGATTGAGCCTGCAACCCAGGCATGTGCCCTGACCTGGAATTGAACCATGACCTTCTGGTTCATAGGTTGACACTGAACCACTGAGCCACACCGGCCGGTCCAGCAGACTCACTTTATACGGTTACCTCTTTCTTTGAAAATGGATGACATTCACTCAAATACTGCTGTCTTCCAGGCACTATGCTAGGTTCTTGGGATAAGTCAGTGACTGGTATTTAATTCGGGAGATAGTTATTGAGCACCTACTATTTACAGACACTGAACTAGGTTCTGGGGACACATCTGTGAGCATTGGAAAATGGATGCCCTCCCTTCATCCATCCAGTCCTTCAGTCCTTATTTCAACACACATTTGCTGAGTACCTACTATGTGCCAGGTACTGTTCTAGGTACTTCAAATTAAATGGTGAACCAGATTGACAAGGTCCCCACCTTCTCTAGCAGAGGAGGGTGGGCCACCAATCATAAATCTATGAATAGGATCAGTTCAGGTAGCACATAGCTCTTACAAAAATGAAGATGTCTGTGATAGAGGGTGACTGCGATGGGGTGAGGCTGGTTTAGCTGGGATGGCCAAGGAAGTCCTCTCACAGGGGTGCCATTCACACTCACACTTGGACATGAGATGGAACCAGCTACGAGAACATCTGGGGGAGTAGCTTCCCAGGCGGAAGGCATAGCAAATGCGGAGACTGGACCAAGTTTGGGGTTCAAAAAAGTGATAAAGGACCCGTGTGCCTGAGCGTATTGAGTGTGGGAAGTGTGGGTGAAATAGGAGGGAGGTGTCAGCGGGGCTAAATTGCATGGAACTTGGAGACCAGGGCAGGGAGTTCAGATTTTATTCAGAGTGTATGGGAAATCATCAGGGAGATTAAAGCCTGGCGGGGGGGGCGGGGGGGGGGGGCTTTAAAAAAAAAATCCCTCTGCTCTAGACATGATGACAAAATGCAGTGTGGTTTTCTAGATTGGATCCTGGACCAGAAAAGGTCATTAGTGGGAAAAGTGGTAAACTCCAAATGGAGCCTGCAATTTAGTGTTTTAGTTAAATCATGTATCACCCATGTCGATTTCTTGGATTTGACACATGGACCGTGGCTACAGGTGGACATTAGGGGAGCTGGGTGAAGGGTACATAGCAACCCTCTGAACTACCTTGGCAACTTTTCTGCAAATCTAACATTATTTCAGAATAAAGAGCATGATTTTCTAAGATCCCTGTGGATATTAGGTATGAGGGGGAGCGCAAAAAGAAGGCAAGAGTGGAGGCAGAGAGATCAGCTAGGTGGCTTTTGAGGTCAACCAGATGAGGGACTGCGGCAGGGCAAGCAGAGTGGTGATTCTGACCTGGGATAGAGGGTTCCTCCTTAGCTGAGTGATGGGTCTGCAGCCAGGAAAACGTCCAGGTCCCAGTGTGAAGGCTGTTGGACAGGAGGAATGCCCCCTTACCGGCCGGAGGGTCAGCTCTTTGTTCTATGCCAACCTTCCACGGATTGGGCCAGGCCCACCACGTTAAGGAGGGCAATTTGCTTTCCTCAGTCTACCAATTCAACTATGAGTCTCCTACAGAAACACCTTCAAAGAGACACCCACAATAATGTTTGACCAAATGTCTGGGCACCGCACAGCCCAGTGGAACGGACATATAAAATTAACCTTCCCAGTAACAAGGGGAGGGCAAAACTTCTGATATTTAAACTCTGGCAGCTTGTTTTTGGGTCATGTGCACAGGGTTCTTGCAGAGAGCTGATCTTATCCTCCTTTTGAGCTGACTCTATCTTTATCCTCAGCCATTATCTGGCACTTACTGTTGCTGTGGATTTCCTTAGGGAAGACTTAATCTTATTCATATCTATTCTTGCTGTTGCTGCTTAGAGTACTTGATTCTTTTTTTTTTTTTTAAGGGAATTGCAAGTGGAGGCAAGTCTTTAAGGAATTCAAGCAAGGGACAAAAAGCCCAAATGCTCTTACAGCCAGGCGGGCAGCGAGGTGTGTTCTCCAGGACAGGTGCAGGGCGGTAAGGAGTGGTGAGGACTGTGGCGAAGGAAGAAGGAATGCTTTGCCTCAAGTGGACAGTGGCTCCTTGGCTCCAGCTGCCTGTGACTGTGAGAAAATCAGGCCCAGGGTTTTCTGCTCTTTCAGGTTTTGAAAGAACCCATACATACATTTGAATTTTGCAGTGTAATCTGTAATACCTATGAACAACGAATTCAAATTTATTTATTTTTCATAACACCCTGTGTGAACCAAAACAAAACATTTCCATGGGCTGGATTTGTTTCATAAAACTCTTTGCAACTGATGATGGATTAAATAATGATGGTGAGACTTATAACAATTTTAACAAAATAGCTATTATTTATTTAATGCTTACTGTGTGCCTGGCACGATTTAAAGACCCTAACTATGTTATATCATTCGGTTGTCAGAATAGAGGTAGGCGCGGTGTTACTCCCATTTCACAGATGAGGTCAGTAAGGTGGTCACCCCGTAAATATCACTAGTAAGTGTTGGAAATTTGGCTTTTCTGAATCAATAACCTTTGCTTTAAATTCCTATGTGACTCTGGCTCCCTTGACCCTAATGTGTGAGATCCACACCCACTGGAGATATCCAGCCTGGGTTATCACAGATCATAGCTGAGAGCCGAGGAGGAGATTACACAAGGAATGCATATTTTATTGGGCAGCCATGTGCCACAGACCATGCTAAGCACGTTCAAACATAAATCCCTCGAACGCTTACATTGATTCAAAGAGCTGGACCTTATTATCCAGATTTTGCAGATGAGGAAGAAAGATTCTGTTTGTTTCCCTGAGCTCACACAGCTAGTGAGGGGCAGAGGTGGGGCTGGACCACAGGCCCATGGTCTCTACAGCTTGTGGTCTTGCTACTCTTCCACATAACTAAGATCTGAGCATGAGCCACAGCTGATACACATAACTAACAGCATCCAGTTACACTGACTATGACCATGTAGGGATATGGATCCTCACTCAGTCATCCTGATACTTACAGTTTATTGCTTACTTGTGTGATAAAATAGTAGACATATAACAGCTCTTAATGTTTTCATGTTGACATTGTTCTCAGGAAAGTTTTTGTTCTCTTTGTGTATTAATTGGTCCAGTAATGGTGTTGTTCATTTCTGTTTTCACAAAATAAGCACAGATTCATGTAATGCCTTGAGATCGGTGACCTAGCTTTGGCTCTGCAATCTCCAAATGTCCTCTCACCTACCTTGGTCTTTACGAAATACAAGAAGTTTACCATCTATACTTTCAGACAGGTGTTTGCCACATCATGGGATATGTATTATTAATAGTATTCAAATCAACTGTAAGGACTGTATGTGGCACTGTATTAATTACCTAATGCTGCATAGCAAATTATACCAAAACTTAGTGTCTTAAAACGACAGACATTTATCATCTCACAGTTTCTGTGGGTCAGAGATCAAGGAGCAGCTTAGCGGAGTGTTCTGATTCAAGGTCTCTCTTGAACCTTTCTTTCTGAAATTTTCTCAGTGAGTATGTATTCGTT